GCTATACGTCTTTGCAGTAACGGCGGTGGCTATAAAGCTGCCCACCATGAAACACCCACTCTGTTAACTGGCAGGCAGATAGCTGCCAACGTAGCTGTGGCTGAGGGTGCTACAAAGGCACTATAGAGGTAAATGAAAAAAGAATTTATAAAGCGGTGGTAGATCATTTTTGAAGGCTGTTGATTGCAGTTAGAAATAAGTTTCATAATCGTTTGGGAGACTTATTGCAGAGAACAGCACAGAACTCTGGCCATGTCTTCAAAAATAAATAATCTGAATTGGTTAAATAAAACCCAGGCACGAGAAGATAATTTACTGACTACGAATGGGTAAAAGCCTGGGCATTAGTCAAAGATAACTCTCGTTCACCAAATGTGTTTAACTGAACAAGAGCACTTGCAGAAGATTGTTTTGTGGTATACTAATTGTGTATTTTATTTTGAAAATTGAATACGGAAATGCTAATAAGAAATAAGAATCATCCACAACACAAAATGCCAGCTTTGCCAAGTGAAACCAGAATAGGTTGCTGCTTCTGAAACCAAATAGTCATCTGCAATATAAACTAGTAGGCACGATCTGAGCTTTTCTCAAGATTTTCTGAAATCCAAACCAGGAAAACAAATCTCTGCTCTAGCCTTGACGAGACTCAAAATACGCACCAGCTCAACCAGCTTATTTAGTTTCACAGAGCGAGTCCCAGTGCAAAAACCTGGCCTATGCAATTAGCTGAAGGATGCCGGTGGCTTGGGAAGTGCTGGGAGACTGAGCCCAACCTCTTCCCACACCATAACTGCTGGTTTGCTGGGTGAGCCTGGACACACAAAAAGGACAAGAGAGCCCACAAGGTCTGTTTTCCACTCACTTATTTGTCCTGCCCAGTTCAGTCATGCTCTTGGAAACAGTAGCTTCTCCCACTTCAGCCCGTGGAGAGACTGCCTCGACCTCAACAGCAGCAATGTGCTGCATTAACCTTAGCCTCATTTCATTGCTGGAGCTTGTAGTGATGGGACTCCAACGACTGAATTGCCCCGTTGTACATTTTTTGTCAGTAGGTTGAGCCTCAGAAGAATACCAAAGAGAACCAGCTATCAGCCCGCAGTCAGAAACACGTTGTTTTTCCCCGCACTCAGGCTTAGACACATTTTTTCCTCTTATTGAGCGCTCCTTTCCTGTGCCAGGACTCCCATTGCAGCCACGGTGCAGGGAAGCACCAAGCAGCAGGAACAGAGCTGATGGAGCTGGAGGGTAGGACACGCAGAGGACAACTTCACACTGCAATTGCTCCACCTTGTTTTGGCCACCCACAGGCAAGCAATACCAAGACTATTTTTGCTTCTGGTTGTGTTACAAAATACATAAAACTAAACCAGCAGATGTGTACTCCTGTTCCACACACGCAAGAAAATGATAGCAAAAAACCCCACTAGTGTATACAATAATCTCTTCTTGAATGCATGAAGCTCCTCATGACCTTAAAGCCATGCACTGGGCTGGCAGGCCAAAATGTTTACGTGGTTGAGCATTTCGTTCTGGTGACAGGCAGCCCTTTTAAGTCTTAATCAGCAGATATCAGGAGAGCTAACTCATAGACATAAAGAAAATCTACTTAGGGAATAAATGTCTAAATAAGTATGAGAGATGGGATGCTGATCTTTTAATGTTCCTCTGCAGGGTAAACAAAATTATGAGGGGTTTTTTTTCAGTTTAATTCATTTATGGTATTTGTCTATTATCGCATGATAAAAAGGCTCAGCATGTCTAGCTCACTAGGTCTTCCCTCTTGTCCTGGAGTGAGAGGCTGCCCAGCTAAACTGAGCACTAACAAGAAGGCAGGCAGGCACACAAGGCCATGGAGCTCATCAGCCATACGTACAGATAATCCAGGGGTATGTCAACTGCCTCCCTCAAGTCCATTTGGTGAAGAACGCGGGCAATTATTGCAATAGAGACTATGAAAAACTGGAGCAGACTGGAGGCACATCATCTTGCACAAGTTCACCATAGAATCATAGAACAGTTTGGGTTGGAAGGGACCTTAAGGATCATCGAGTTCCAAGCCCCATTTCCACAGGCAGGGACACCTCCCACCAGGTTGCTCAAAGCCCCATCCAGCCTGGTCTTGAACACCTCCAGGGATGGGGTATCCACAGCTTCCCTGGACAACCTGTTCCAGTGTCTCACCACCCTCACAGGAAAGAATTTCTTCCTAACATTCAATCTAAATCTCCTCTCTTTCAGTTTAAAACCGTTACCCCTTGTCCTATCACTACATGCCCTTGCAAAAGGTCCTCTCCAGTTTTCTTCTAGGCCCCCTTTAGGTACTGCAAGGCCACTATAGGGTCTACCCAGAGCCTCCTCTTCTCCAGCTGAACATCCCCGACTCTCAGGCCCACCTCTCAAGTCTGTTAAGGTCCCTCTGGATACCATCACTTCCCTCCAGTGTGTTGACTGTGCAACACAGCTTGGTGTCATCAGCAAAGTTGCTGAGGGTGCACTCAATCCCACTGTCCATGTCTTTGACAAAGATGTTAAACAGCACAGGTCCCAATACTGACCCCTGAGGAACACCACTCGGACATGGAGCCACTAACAGGAACTCTTTGTGTCCATCCATCCAATTCCCTTTCCATCGGGACCTGAGTGGTCCATCGTCAAATCCATGTCTCTCCAATTTAGAGACAAGGATGTTGTCCGGGACAGTGTCAAAATTTATTTCAGTCTGAGAGACAAATAGCCTTTCCTTTAGTTATCTCCCATCTGTCACTTTCATTTGGCCATTAAAACCATTTTTAAAATGATAAACCAAGCAATACTGCCTAACTAATGAATGTCGAATTATCGGTGTAAATATGCCAACATTTATTTATTTATTTGCCTCACCAAGAACATGTTCTCCTCTGTTTGGTTTTCTATTTTAATGACTACAATTTATCATATTAACTAGACTTCCAGTTTGCTGGGTTTTGTTACAAGTTCTGCTTTTTACTGAGACATATGCAAGAGAGCAGTCTCAGGTAAGAGAATTAATAAAACTAATAAAAAAGCAATAGTGGCTCACCAAAAAGCACAAGTGACTGAACATTTGCTACACAAGGCCCTTGCTTCTTCCTCATTTGCTGATTTTACTGCCCATTTTCCACCAGTATTTTACTCTGCTTATGGCAGCTCTCCACAAGGAACGTTAATTCCCCACTTTGCAAATAATCTGCTTTCCCTGCTTACCAGCAGGCAGCATAGGAAGGAAGGAAAGCTGAAGCAGGAGAACCATCCATGATGACTTCAAGCCTTGCACAATGGCCCAGTTGGGAGTTTCAAGAGACATCTGAAACTCCAGCAATGCCTGAATCAGTGCAGGGATCCTGTCAATGCAGGAGGTATCTATCTGCTGCCTGTCTAACGTGGTAGGAAACCAGTTAGTCCAGCTGCACCAAGGCTATATCTATTTCAGAGAGCAAGCATATGTGTTTTCCCCACCTGTCACAACTGTGAAATGTATAGATAGCATTTACTTCCTAGGCATTCGTCACTCAAATTAACAGGCAACCTGTTAGTCTGAGTGTAATTAGCACCCCAAACTTTACTCCAGACATATCCCGTAGCTGAAATTTGTTTGCAGATCTTTAAGCATCCTGGTGTACCCTTTGAGTAAATACAGGCCAAGGTAGAGAGTGGAAATCCTGTGAAATCCTCAACAAATTTAACATGAAGCAAAGCTAAACACGCTGTTGGAAAATCTGCTGTGCCTTTGTCAGAACCCATAACGGAACGTTCACATTTTTACAAACTGAAATTGAGCAGCAGGTTCACCCGAGACCCGGCAAACCAAATGACAGTGTAACACAACCTGCCAGGGCTGACTCCTGCCGCCCTCTTCCTGCTGCCGGATTGAAACCTGCCGCTCCCTCGACATGCTTTGCATGAAAATGCCACTTACATACAGACACGCATCTTGAAAAATGACACTAGGGTCTTGCAGAAGCGTATGCAAGTGATACCATATGATACGAGTGGTGTAAACCCTTGTCTGTGTCATGGCTTGACTTCTTCTGTTGGAGAGTATGACCAGCACAGCCTACAACCACACTGCCACAGGCTGCCTTTCCTACTGTGGCCCTCACACCCATATACCAGTTCCTTCCCTGTTGCAGCCACATGGTCTGCAGCATCCTCGGTTGCCCACCTGAGTGCATTCAATCACTCCTTTGTGGGTTATTTCTTAAAACATAACCAGTTTTGAAACACCAAAATAATGATGGCCTTAATTTTTTTAAATTCAGGATTCACCTTTCCCTCCTTGTGGTTGCTAGCTCATTAACAGGGTATGCACAAACCACACTGAAATGTTCCTTCAAAAACCCAAAGGCCAAAAGCTTGATGTTTACTTGAAGTTTTGAAGTAAAGAGGGCTGAGGGAGAGCACAACCCAGGCTCCATGGTGGCAGGACAGCCTTCATTGATCACAGACTTCCCCTGGATGCTGGAGATTCAGTTACACTCGTAACTCCAGTCTTGTACACAAAGAGGGTTTTATGTTCACTCAACAATCACCTTTTTTTTTCTTAAGTGCTCTACAAACATTGGCCAGAGTTGTTCCCTTGCCTAGTCCACCAATCAGTCCATTTATAGCATTTTATTAGGATTAGCTTCTCCAATCCTCCAGTGCTTATCTGCATGATTCGCTGACCTTCCCAAACCCTACTTTACCTGCTCCATACCTGCTGGCAACATACACTGTATAGCGACCTGCAAGGTGTCACCTTTCTGTGTAGTGACACGGTTTTCTCCCCCGAGCCCTGGGTAAATCTAAACGACGCATACTCAGAGCATCTGTCACAGCAATGACATTGCTCTTGTTCTCTGTACATCTGTGACATTTTATTATCCTCTTACAATATTGCAGCGGAGTTAGTGGGAAAGAGACCTGCCCTTCTCCATCCCAGTACCCGTGGCTACTCCCCTAAGCACAGAGGAGGGAAGGAAGGAAAGAAGATTTCTTACCCGTAGGAAGGAGAGGTCTCGGTTGTGCTCAATGCTCGTGATTTCCAGGTTGCCCATAACTACCTCGCAGTTCTCATAGTACTTGCGCAGGGCCCGATACTGCTGCTCCAGGTCAGAGAGGGAGCTCAGCTTGTTCTCGGTGCCGGCACACACTGCAAGAAACCACAGGACAAACAGTCAGGATGAGCGTGAAAGAGGGACACAGGAGCAGAGGAGACAAAGTTTGTATACAGGGATACAGGCAATTGTAACAAAAATCCGTAACTATTCATGGGATTGGGTCCCGCAAAAAAACCAACCCAGCACAAGTTACTTGAATATCACAGGAAGGTAGAACTAAGGTCCATGATCGTCTCAGCAATTTAAACACATCTCACCAAATGGGATGAAATGCTGGTATTTACCACCAAACGCATAAAGGCTGAAAATGCAGAAATACAGGAAAAACATAGAACTAGTCGAGCCCAGAACCTAAAGGGCCAAACCCAGGTGTCAGTGGAATCACTACTAGTTCTGCCAATGACAGAATCGGACACTGAACAGGGATGCCCCAACCACAGACACAAGGCTGAAGAGACCTGTGCATCCCAGCTGACCTGGGTAATCCACCATTTTCCCTATTCAGCTGATGCTCAGAATGGTCTGTTGGACAAGCCAAGAGCAACCTGACCAGAAGGTTTATACCCAACATTGCTTCCCCATCACTTTCCTTAAGACCCCAGCTCTTTCCAGCTTTATGCAATTAAATAGGAGAAAGACAACAGCAAAAAAACCCAACATCTTTCCACAAGTCACCAGACTGAAGGTACAGTGGAGATGTGGCAGACGAGTTAGGAAACACCATCCTAATCCAGATAGTTTTCAGAAGATGCTCTCAAATATTATACAACGCTGTTCTAAATTTTTAAGTCCAGTTTAAAGCTACTTAAATGGCCAAAGGTAGGGATGGGCTTTTTTTTTTCCTGCATGAACTTACTTTTCCTCTCTACCAACAACTTGTGGGTTGTTCTTATCTGTGAGCAAATTAATCTGAATATATCCAAACTTTTGAAATGGCCATTATATTATGCAAAACATGAGCCAGACCAGAATAGCATTTCTGGAGTCATTCCCACTCCTGGATTAAATCAATACAAACAAAACTCTCCATGACTGGAAGCATAATCAGTAAAATTGGCTAAAATATGCTCTTTTGAATGATGCAGGTCCTTTTTATAAATATCAAAAGTAATTAGGTTTTTGAGTACTACTATTATTGACTGTTTACTTACTACATCCTCCCCACCCCTTTTTTTTTTTAATAGAAAAAGGAACAATTCTCGTCTCTGTTCTCTGCTGTGGTCTCTCTGCTGCAGAGCAATCTGCCCTTGTGCCAGGGCGATTCAAACTTCAAGCAGCCTCTTGGCGAAGGGCTTCAGGAGGCAGCCAGAAACCCACAAACTCCTCAAAGTTTTCTCCCAAGGAAACTCCCTCCACCCTAAAAACGGCAGCAGAAATCTCTTCCCTCCTGAACCACAACTCTCTGCTGGGGAAGGATAGCAGTGGGTGGTTTCGTGGGGAGCCATTCATGGGATGAAGGTTTTATCAGATCCTTCTCAAGTTTTGTGTTTCCAGCAGGTAAAGAGCACGGACCAAAGCTGAACAGGCACTATGTAGGACTAATTTTCCAATAATGCATCTTGTCTAGATACCAAAGGAAATATTATAAGGATTTTATTATTATTATTATTTCTTCCTATGACCTGGTAGAGTAAAATTTCAAAGTCCTCACTAAATTTTAAAGCTTTAAATATTTGACATATATTCATTATACTGTGTTGCAGAAACCAGATCTGGTTGGTTTGCTCAGGTTTTAAAATAAAAACTAACACCTCAACTCAAGGCTTTATTCAGAACACCAACATTTCCATTTTGAAAGTTTTGTTGTAAAACCTTACCACTTAGAGTAAAACATATCTAAAAAAGATTTTGTTTATAATATTTCAATAGCTACATCTGGGGATTCCCAAGATGGAAAGACGTGGTCCCTGCTAGGACCTGACATAGCTCTGCTGGACTGGAAACACCTGGGAGGAGGTGTTTCTGCTGCTAGGGGATGGCACATCTTTCTTTTTTAAATACAAAGCCCTGTCCTAGCTCATATTTGAAGTTTTATTCCGAACAACCTCAAGATCTGCTGTACAAGCATCTCCATCCTTCAGGGAGACACATGCCTGTCCCTGTCAGAAGACTTCAGAAATGCTCACTATCAATTACAGAATCAGTTTGTTTGCTTTTTCCTTAAAAGCAGCAGCAGCAGCAGCATCTATAACAACAGGATTGACTGTGTTTCCAGCCAAATAAGTATTATTCTGTCTTAAGGCTCCTGAGGACTAATAAATAATTTCTGTTCCATTTCGCAATTGGTGCTAAGGATCAACACAGCTCAGAAAACAATTCCAGCAGCTCAGCTAATAAAGCTATACACTGCAACACCGGTATTTCGTGTTGCACACCCATTAAACATTTCCCAAAAGCTAATTTAGCCATTTGTTGCTGTAAGGAGGCAGAACACCTGGAGTCTGCTCTTGCAAGAGGATTCAACAGGGGTGAAGCCAGCCCAGATGTAAGCTGGGGCTGCAGATTTTATTCGAGTAAGATTAGATTGATTTTGTACAACCAAACCACTGCAGTAACTGCTCGCAGCTTTTGACAAAGCTACAGAAATCAATTCTTTCAGATGAATAAAAATCTTAAAATCAAATTTAGAAGAAATCATGATGATCTTTAAAGTTATCTTATAGCAACTCTAAACATTTAATTTTTGTACCTCACACACACACACACACAAAATCTAAAGAAATTGGTTAAAAATTGCCTCAAATCAAATAGTACACCCAAAGTGAGACTATCCTACATCAATTGGGGGGGG